CCTTTTTTTTTTTTTTGATAACCGTGGATGTCCGGGCCAGCTTGCGCGCACCTCGACTAATTCCACGGGGCCCTGAAGTTTACGGCCGGGTACTCACCTCAGTGGCCCTGAGGGGACTCGAACTGGTGATCATTGGGGAGCAAACCCATAGCCTAACCAATTGAGCAACCCCTCAGGGTTAATAACCCCCAGCACTTGACAACAAGATGTCAAATAATCCATTCTCAAATTAGGGAAAAGAAGAAAAGATCTAGCAAAATATATGTTGCTTGGCTAGGAGGAGGGTGTTCATACACATCTAGGAGTCGGATAATTTTTTCCAAAAATCAAGGATATGGGTATACGGCTAAGGAGGATCTAAAATTTAGATATAGGTACATGGGTACGTCTTATAATCTCAAAATTACTTTAGAAATCTATATACAGATAATTTTACATGTATTTCTTGGAGAGACAATATTATATATGCTTAGTTGTAAATATATAACAAATTAAATTGTAAATTGTAATACTTCATTAGAATTTTGAAATACAATTTAAAAGTTACAATACTAAAATAACAAAAAAGGTATAAACGATCTTCTTCTAATTTAAAGGATTCGAGATGGATCTCATATCCTTATCCATGTTGTGTGCCCAACACAGGTAGTTCCTACAAAATGTAGAGTCCGAACCAAGTACGCTGGACTCCCTAATATAGTGTAAAACTAATTATATATTAAAATGGAAGTACTTAAAGTGTAAAACAAATAAAGCATGGACACCCTTACTAAAGTAGCATGTCTGAGTCTCATGCATGTTGTGTCATATCGGACCCAACAATCCTCAAACACTCAATAAACCATGTGCCCTTGTCCAAATTTTTTATGTAGTTTACAATTACAAACAATAGGATATTTTAGAGAGCACGATGCTACTACAGTATATACAAGGCGCTAGAGGTATAAAATTAATTAGGTATCTATAATCTTAGCTGATGTTATATTATGTTTATTTTCTCAATTTGTTTCCTACGTATTTCAGATTTGTTTAGTTTCCTATTTAAGTTAGGAGTGTTTAAACCCCTATAAATCGAGTCAACACTTACACCTTGATTATTGAATACATTATTATGTCTATCTAATTACTCTTCTATCTCTTTTCTCTCCTCGGTTCTTCTCAACTCTCATAAGTTTCTGATTGTTTATCTTTATTACAAGAGTATCAGGTCAATTTGGTATCAGAGAAATAACTCGCTTGAGTTCTTTCAACAAAGAAGAAACGATGCCATGATTAAAGTACAATCGATGCAAAAGAGGAATTAAATTAATTAGGATTTCTTTAATTCGTTTGTGTTAGATTATTTTTATTTTCTTAGTTGGTTTTCTACTTAAATTATATTTGTTTAATTTCCTACTTAGATTAGGATTGTTCACACCCTTGAAAATAGAGGGTTAACACTTGGTTTTACTTAAACAGTGATTATTCTATACAATTACTACAATTATATATCTTATTTCTCTTTTCTCTCCCCCTTCTCGCTTCAACTCTTCTCAATTCTCATAATTTGCTAATTGCGGATCTCTATTTACAAGCACAAATGTCAATTTGGTATCCAAGAAATAACTAGTCAAAGTTGAGTTCTTCTCAGCTAGAGAGAAATGATGTAATATAATTGAAGTTTTTGTAATCCTAGTTTTTTTTTTTTGTTAGATGTGGTTTATTTCCTTAGCTGGTTTCCTGCTTCAATTAGATTTATTAATTTACTACTTAGGATAGGATTGTTTAAATCCATAAAATTGAGGGTCAACAACCCATGATTATCGAATACATTCATAACCTCTCTCTCCCTCCCTCCCTCCCTCCCTCCCTCACTCTTTTCAATTATTCTCAATTCTAATTAGTTGCTAATTGTGGGACTTTATCTATGAGCCTTCGTCCTCAATTTGGTAACAAAAAATTCATCCTAGAGTTCTTTTCAGCCTGAGTGAAATAATGCAACAATTAAAGTATATTGAAGGCACAAGAGGAATTTAATTTGTTGATGGCAAAAAATGACACTACACATTTTGATCAACATAAAGAGATTTGATAAGAATAACAGTGTTGTATTGCTGGAATTAGCTGGAATTTGAACGATAATACATAGAATGTCTTAGTTCGAACCACCCTTCTCATTTACCCTTCATCCCTTCATACTGGCTGATGAACTCGAGCTTACCACCCTGGTTAGTGTTCTAATCTAGGCTGCGTAATTGCCCTTTTGAAGGAATCTGCTGGGTTGATGAGTTCGCCTGCACTAAGATCATCATAAGACCTAGGCCTTAGGCTTGTGTAATAGGCCATCATGTCATCAACCTCATTGGTGGATTGAGCTGTGCTACCACCAAGGGGGAGCACTTCCTTCATCGCATTATGATGATGTTTTCATATAACATC